AAGGTAGGAACGCTAACCTCGACAAATTAGCTTTAACCTTTTTAAAAAAAATAAAAAAAAAAGAAAAGAAGAATTAGAAGCAAAGAATTTTGAAAGAATCCGGTAACAGAGTTTAGAAGTCATTACTAATAAAATAAAATGAGAAAGAAGAAATTATTAAAGTTCCATTAGATAGAGTGGAGAACTATTGACAGTATCTACCTACAGCATAGCATTTTAAAGAAATTAAAATGAATCATATGATGTCAAACTAAATGCCTTCAGTAATTTCATTTGCTTTTTTTATTGGATTAAATTTGAATCATACAATATGTTGATTTTTGATTTTAACCTATCAATTATCCGAATAATTTATTATCTTTGCATTTTCCTTTTTTTTTTCTATCAATTTTTTCAAAAATCTTATCAATATTTTTGGTCATTTCACTTAATCTTCCCAAAATTGTCGCTATCACTTTATCATTCCCAGTGATTTCTGCTTTTATCACTAATTTTTACTTATACATGTAATTTTGAATTTGTTTAATTATTTTTATTTTTATTTACTATATCAGTGCTATTAAATCATTATCATTTTCATCCTTTTTTACTCTTTTTTAGAAATTTTCTTTATTTTTTCTTACTAAATTTGTTTATAAATTTGCTATTTGCTTATAATTTCACATTGTTTCACTTTCTTTACAAACAATTCATTCATTCGCTTTGTTGTGCTATATTTTCGGTAAAATTAATTACCAATAATAGCTGCAATGGAAGTCATATTAGGGATTTCAAGTAACCTAAATTGAGTATTCTTTAAGTAACCTACATTGTGAGTCACATTAGAAAATGGAAGTCGCATTAGGAACTTCAAGTAACCTAAATTGAGTATTCTTTAAGTAACCTATATTGAGAATTCTTCAAGTATTTCAGTAAAATATTTAGCCGGTAACAGTTTTAAAATGCTGTTTTGCGCAGCAACTAGTAATCTTTCTTAGCCAAAACATTTCAAAATTGGACTGGCTGAAGGTTGAACAGTAATTAATTATCCGATTACTGCTTGTATAACATTAAAGTATTCTGATTAGAAGGGATTAATTGGAATCTCATGCCTAATAATTTACCACCTGATTCATCAGTAATTTCACTCCATGTTAAATTATTTAATTGAACAAACATCTACTTGATGCGTTACTCAGAATAAATAAAAGCCTGCCTACCGAGATATCTGGGAGTTCTATACTCAGCCTGAGTGCAAACATTACATCACAAATATCGAAAATAAAGCAGCAAGATGAAACAGAAAATGCGAAAGAAGCGAAATGTTTTCTGTTAAATTTCCTCATAGATTTTAGTTTTTATTTATAATTTTGAAAAACTCGACAAAAACAGCCTCTTTGGGGAGCGGGGGTGGGGAACAGGTAGGAATGAAATGACTGAGGTGTGGTGATGGGAGACGGGAGGGGAAATGGGAGAGTGATAGCTTCCGAGAAATGTTGTTTTATTTATTTCTCCACTGTTACCCGTGTAAAAACAGGTTCCGATGGAATGAACCAATTCATGAAAGCAGTGCGAAGTGCAAAATGCAAGAAGAGAATCGGAGATGAGCAGAGGACGGGAAGGGATTGGAAATGTGTGATGATTTCGGGGTAACGCAATTTTTGGTTTGTCACATCCTACATCAATTATATTCTCTTAGTATCTAAATGTTCGTAAACAAAGGATGAGATTCTGATCTTAATGAGGGGTAATTTCATGCGAATATCACTGATAAGTTCAAAGAGGAAATCGGTTACACCACAGAATCCCTTTTTTTTTGGTGTTCCCAAGTGATAACGATAGTAGTGATAAAGTTGAGAAGAATTTTTCAAATTCCTCAACTAAATCAGACAGTAATGGAAATTTCTCGCCTTCTTCTTCTTCTTCTAATGCAAAGTTAAATTTGAAAAAAGTCAATGACTTCCCAAATTAAAAGTGCTTAAAAAGATATTTCATTAAATATGCAATAGAAGTAATTAAACTAATAATTACCACATCTCATCGCTTTGCAATTGTGGATTGTATCTATCATAAAGTTGTAACAATTCAGAAAGATTCCCCTAAAATGAACTAATCAATCATTCTTGTGATAATATGCCGGAATATTAATATTGAAAAAATTCTAATGGAACGAAACTTCCTTGAAATTCAAGATTTACCGGGAAAATTGAACAGATCATTTAAAGAAAGTTTTTTTCAGGATAAAAAGATGAAAAGTTTTAAATGGTCGCTGGTATTCGTTTCAATTATTCAAACTACCTGAAATCTCATTTTATCAAAAATCTAAATGGCAATTTTAGTAGGGTGGAACTTTCGTAAATGAATGGTTTGGCGATAATCATGTCATTGGTCATATTACCTTTTCTTCAAAGTTTTTTTCTTCTTCTGTTATGAAACATTACCGCCCACAAAAACGACTTTAAGCCAATTTTCAAATAAGAACAACACATTTGCTGTCAAATTACTCTCGTAAAAATAGTATTTCTAGTCGTAGTATCCATATATTTAAACTAATTTTTGCGCCTTTCTTTTTTTAATCAAATTTCCTGCTTCTCTAACAGTTACTTTATCTTTCAAATTTTTTAAAATCTTTTCATTGATTAGCTGATTATTAATCAACCAGATTTGCATTTAAAAAAGGAACTGGATGGCAGGTGACATTTCTGCAAATCAAAAATGTTGTGAATGAAGTCAACTTAACGTATTAAACTACTTTGATGTCGAAACATTTCACAAAATTCTTAGCATATATTATGCATCTTGCCCCTCCCAGATAAATGCGAAATAATTAATAATAATAATAATAATAATAATAA